TAGGGAAAAGAATCAGTGTGGTACAAAACTGCACTTTACTGTCCGTACATGAGGAAAGTGACATAATTATGCTGTTTTCAAAATTTGGAGCTATTATTTGTGAAAAAGAGATTTTTGTAAGGAAGTAGGGAAATTGTTTTCAGCTGCTTCTCTTATTTACCCAATCAGAGCAATCTGCTTATGAGTATTACTTAGTTATTACATGTAGTGAGGACAATGTTGTAGAATAATTCGAGGGAAAGCAGTGTGAGTTAATAAATTATTTTAAAAATTATTTTCTAAGAGAGCTTATTTTTAAATAAAGTATATATGGTAACCAAAAACTAAGCTAATTAACTAAACTAAGCTAAACTACTAAACTAAGCTAACACAAGTCCATAGGCATCCTATTTTAATGTCTAGATAAGAATGACTTTAATTTGTAATTAGTATGGTCACAAGAATAAAAAGAAATATTTTAGTACTCTGACATTGCTTCAATTTTAATTTTCCTAGGTAGTTAAGTATTCCGTCATCACCTGTTTTGGTTTCAAAACACTCATCTTCCTTCAACAATAAAAAGGTGAAATTTAGGCCAGGCTTTATCTGAGTTACATATCCTGAGTCATTTGAATTCAAATTTAGTAGGTATGAACGTTAAATATGCTATATATTTGTGAAGTATTTTTCCCTGGCACGTATTTATGGTGACTGTGTGCTCTCTGTATTTAATGAGGGCCTTCTTAGAAATTTAGACTGTTGCTGATTATTTCTTGGAATAATTATTCTTTAAACACCGTAAGATAATGCTTTTGCCAATCTAAATCCTTTGTGTTATCTGCTAGGTTTAAGGACCACAGTACAGCTATGGATAGTGAACCAAACCCTGGAACATCTTCGGTATCGACAACAACCAGTAGCACTACCACGACCACCATCACCACTTCCTCCTCTCGAATGCAGCAACCACAGATCTCTGTCTATAGTGGCTCAGACCGACATGCTGTACAGGTATTTCAGTTACCATGATGCGTAGGCTAAGACTGAGGATGTCATTACTTTTTGCTTAAGCCAGATGAATCTATTGTTTCATGTCCTCAAATGAGTTACATGATACCCTCTAAATGAGTATAGTTAGAATTGTTCATGTTTGGAAGAACCAACAGAGTTATTGAATAATCATTCTATTGAGAGGGCCTACATTTGTCAGCGTGTAGCTTATAAAACAATATGTTGGGAAAATTATAATTGGAAGGTCTCTAGGTACTGCTACAACGTTGAGAAACTCAACCAAGAGCCCCAACATGAAGAATGGCTCTAGGTTTTTCTGATTATTTTACATTTGGACCTAAAATATGGACTTAGGATCTATTCAGATCTATTCAGCTCTGTAGATACGTTAAGAGGTTCATTTTAAACCCAAGTGGCCTAAGAACCCTAAACAGGAGGATCCATTCAAGAGCTCTAAGGGGCAGAGGAGGAAGGGAATATTTAATTAGGAAAAGTCTTAGGCTCTTCACTTGGTTGGGAAAATAAAGTTTACCTGGTTAACCTTTATAATAATGGAGGTTGAGGCAATATGGTATAGCATGAAAAGGGCATGGGCATTGCAATCTGATGTGCTCTTTGAAATCCATTTTCTTTATCATTAGTAGATATGTAGCCTTGGGTGAGAGGCATAATCTCCTTGAGCCTCAGGAAACTGAAAAATGAGGATGAGACCACCTGCTTAGTTAGTTATGAGGATTAAAGGAAGCATCTAGAATTGTGTGGGGCACATTATATATACTCAGTAAACAGTAATAGCTAATATATATTGAATACTTGCTATGTGTCAAGCATTTGATAAGTTCTTTATATGGATTTTCTCCATTTAACAAATGGGAAAACTGATGTTGTAAATTGGCTAAATAACTTTCCTAAACTCATATAACTAGTTGGTACTGTAGCTTTAGAGTTGTGCCCTTGGGACTTCGCTGGTGTCCAGTGGGTAAGACTTCGTGCTCCCAATGCAGGGGGCCCAGGTTCATCCCCTGGTGGGGGAACTAGATCCCACATGCATGCCGTGACTTAAGAGGTCCGCATGCCGCAGTGAAGATCCTGCATGCCATGGCTAACTTACCTGTTTGTGATGTAGTCATCTCCCTGATACATTTTTCTAGAGTGGAGATCCCAGTATACTGGCTATTTAGCTGTTCTGTGGCTTAGGATTCTGAAGCTACTGTGGAGTAGAATCAGAATTGTTGGAGACCTAGTCAGTTCAGTAAAAATTCAAACTGGAATGGAGAGTGTGTTTTTAATGTTTTTCACCTTTCTCTGAGGCAAGGGATATAGGGAAGAGTATCTAGAGCTTGAGCATACAGATGATGTGACATTTTAAATGCCATTTTGTTCTCTAGCTTTACCTAAGCTGGATGTGTTAATAAAAAAAAGTTATTGAAGATGTGTAGATATAGATATATCTCAAAAATAGCACTAACTCCAATTCTTATGAGATCATAGAATTGCTTCCCTTTAAAATGTAATCAAATCAATATTTACTGAACTACCTAAGTAGTTCTTTAATACCTTTCACCTTTCTTTTTCAGTCCTGAGAATCCTCTTCCCCTTCTTTGCTCCTTTATAGGAACAAAATAAGAACAATATGCTGTATCTTTAACTTGCATTTAAAGAGTCTCTCTCCCATGAGTATAGTGTTGAATCATAATGAAAGACTGTGCTGACAATAGAAAAAAATTACTATGACAGAAATATGTGCCAAATAGGTTATTCATTTTTTATTTCAGTTTGATTTTAGAATTTTGTTATGGAATTAGAAGAACATATATAGATTTACCTGACGAAAAAGACATATTGTTGTGATTCTAAATCACAATGCAGATCTATAGTCCCCTGCAACTAGGTGTCAAAAGCCTACATTGGTTTTGTGACAGGAGTCTGCAGTAGGTATAGCAGTCTTTTTTTTTTTTTTTTTTTTTTTTTTTTTTTTGCGGTACACGGGCCTGTCACTGTTGTGGCCTCTCCCGTTGCGGAGCACAGGCTCCGGACGTGCAGGCTCAGTGGCCATGGCTCACGGGCCCAGCCGCTCCGCGGCACGTGGGATCCTCCCGGACCAGGCACGAACCCGCGTCCTCTGCATCGGCAGGCGGACTCTCAACCACTGCGCCACCAGGGAAGCCCAGTATAGCAGTCTTTTGTTGGGGAATTGAGATATGAACACACAAAGGTAAAAAACACAAGGAAATATGCTTTCTTGGAATTTGGATAAAGAGATTCATAGGTTTGTGGTAAAGGTGTCCTGACTCAGAAGCTCAAGCTGTAGGATTATGGCTCTTACTCCCTTAGCTCTTTGAAAACTCTGGTTTGATGCTGAGATTTAGGGTGCTGTTTCAGAGTCATCATGGGCATGATGTGACTTTAGGATGTGTTTGCAGAGTACTGGTATAGTCTGACTTACCATTTGGACAGATAAAGGATTTTCCTCTTATTAGAATACTTGCTTTTCTATACTTATCGATTTATGAAGTTCAGGTTCATAGTTTTCAATAGTCACAGTCATTAACACTTTTCCAGGAATTTCTTTTTTAGTAAGAACAGTTTTATTCTTTGTTGAAACAGTTGAATCTGACATTTAAAAAACATTTAAAAACATTTAAAAAAGTGATTATTTAGTAATTTTCTAAAAAATAGCTTTATAATTTTAAGTGGTTATTAATATAATGAAGCTAAGTATTTTCAGACATTTAAAGAAAAATACAAATGAGAAGGTAAAAATCACTTCTAATCTAGCTACCCGTCAGTAGTCTTTTAATGTTTTCCTGAATATTCTTTAAAATATTTTAATATAAATGGTATCTTACTCTATACACTATTTAGTAACCTGCTTTTTCACCTAATGATATATTTGGGAATTTTTTTGTTAATAGATATATCTGCTCTTTTCAATATAGTAGCTACTAGCTGCATGTGGCTATTTTATATTTAAATTATAATTAAAATTCAGTAAAATTAAAAACTTAGTTCCTTAGTTGCACTAGCCACCTTGTAAGTGCTCAGTAGATTCATGGCTGCTGTATTGGATGGCACTGATCTACACTGATATTCGTAATGCTTGCAGGGTATACATATCCTCTCTACGCAAGCTGCAAATTCTACCAAGTTTTATCCAAAATGGTTATACCAATTTACATTCTTACTAACAGTGTATGAGAGTATCTGTTTCTCCAGTAGTAGTAGTATTCTTTTAAATCTTTATCCATTGGAAAGTTGGAAAATAGTGTCTTAATTTGTAAGTTTTGACTACTAGTGAGATTGAAGATCTTTTCACATGCTTACTTAGCACTTTTTCCTTTTGTGGATTGCCTCTACTGGGTAACTTTAATTTGTACAGATTAGTGAATCCTAGTGATATGTAACTAGGAGAGAACTATGTTAATAAGTTTGATGACATTGAACATTAAAGTAGTGAAATTTTTAGTTTATTTTTTAACATTTTTTTTTAAAGTACATGCACAGACTCTAGACAATGCTATACTTTTTTTTAACTTATTTTTATATATGGCTGTGTTGGGTTTTCGTTTCTGTGCGAGAGCTTTCTCTAGTTGCGGCAAGCAGGGGCCACTCTTCATCACGGTGCGCGGGCCTTTCACTGTCGTGGCCTCTCTTGTTGCGGGGCACAGGCTCCAGACGTGCAGGCTCAGTAGTTGCGGCTCATGGGCCTAGTTGCTCCACGGCATGTGGGATCTTCCCAGACCAGGGCTCGAATCCATGTCCCCTGCATTGGCAGGCAGATTCTCAACCACTGCGCCACCAGGAAAGCCCTTTTTAACATCTTTATTGGAGTATAATTGCTTCACAATGTTGTGTTAGTTTCTGCTGTGTAACAAAGTGAATTGGCTATATGTATACATATATCCCCATATCCCCTCCCTCTTGCGTCTCCCTCCCACTCTCCCTATCCCACCCCTCTAGGTGGTCACAGAGCATCGAGCTGATCTCCCTGTGCTATGCAGCTGCTTCCCACTAGCTATCTGTTTTACATTTGGTAGTATGTATATGTCAGTGTTACTCTCTCACTTGGTCCCAGCTTACCCTTCGCCCTCCCCATGTCCTCAAGTCCATTCTCTTAAAGTAGTGAAATTTTAAACTGCTGCTTTTTTAATACTTTATTTTATGGTTAAGATTATGGTTTGACATTGGTTCAATTGACTTATCACAGGTAATTCAACAGGCATTGCACCGCCCTCCCAGCTCAGCTGCTCAGTATCTACAGCAAATGTATGCGGCCCAGCAACAGCACTTAATGCTGCACACAGCAGCTCTCCAGCAGCAGCACTTAAGCAGCTCCCAGCTTCAGAGCCTTGCTGCTGTTCAGGTGAGATGGAAATGAATTAAGAACTTATGAGGCCAAAGTTGACATGACCTGCAGATAATTCCTGCAAATAAATATGTTGGTATTATTTTAGAGTTTTCAGGTGTCCTGTGATTATTTTTTCTTAAGGAAATATAATAGGCTGCCAGATTGAGGTTAGTTTAAAAACAAATGAATGTGTTTTATGTGTTACTCTATTGCTAACTTTTGTCCCTCTGCTTTATCTACATTGCAGAAATGCTATACTAATGTCATGGTTTTGTGTGTAAAGTTTTAGGTACAACAGTGAATAGTTAGGGTTACATGAATCTTATCTACATTTTAACAAAAAAGGCTTTTTAAATTACATAAGTAGTTTACACTCATTAAAAAAAAACAAACAGTATAAAATTGACCATAAGAGGTAAAATATAGAGGTATTCCTTTTCCATATCACCTGCTATTTTCCACTCTTCCG